ATATATATAGCGCACGAGTATTGTACGTTCCGAATGACTCATCACGCATGTGGTGAGTCAAACTCCAACCCGGTATTTGCGTTTTAAAGGTCGATCTTCGAATTTCGAGTTGATTGATTTTGGGTCTTACTCAAGCCTGAAATCTAGTCTTTGGTCCTAAGATAGAAAGCAGTTTCACTGCAGTTGGAAGCATGTGGAAAATTTCGTTATGCCGCAAGCAGCTAATGATATTGCCACTGAAACATCATTAATAGATTTATCAACAATTAGGAAAACGGAATCGGGATGAGTTCGCGAATAAACTCAGTCAATAAATATTCTTTTTTCCTAATGAAATATTGGCATTATTGACAATTGCAGGTCAAAATCGGTGAAATTTGTGTCTCTCCCCCCCCAACTCCCCCCCCCCTTCTCCAACTCGGAGAATCACATTTTTTTCGAAGGCAATTTTGCAATTTTGTCGTCAAATTCGCCATCTTAAATTGCAAACATGCAAATTCGCATAATTCAACATAGTTCAACATCTTGATCATTTATTGGTGTTATGTTTTTCATAGGAATTGGTCCTTGCAAAAAAACACTTGAAACAATTACCGCTTTAATTCAAGCAAAAGCTTTATTTCTGACGGGAATGTTGAATAAAATCGCATTTTTTATTAATTTTAAATCTTANCCAGTGAAACGTAAGCACAAAGTGAAAAGATTTATATCAAATGGCAGGCGTTGCGAAAGCTATCGTTAGCCCTTAGGTTGACTTCAGGCTTCACAGAGGAGGAGGAACATCAAAGTGAAACAAGTCGAGAGGGAGAGGGAGGACAGAAGAGAGTTTCAAAAATGTTAAAGAGACAGACACAAAAGTGGAAAAAGGTGAGGTAAGTACTGTGGAAGTAGTCGAATATGACATACAATGGGGTGAGGGTTGTTTGAAGTCAGAAGTCAACTGCCAATTAATAGACTTTTTTGCCGTATGAGTATACGTTGCCCAGGGTGCACCACGTGGAGGTAAGTCTATCGCACACCCCACAAAGTGAAAAGGAGAAAAGTGGAGTTTAAGTGAATGATCAATATAATTGAGAAGGATGTATTGTGTTATGTTAATAAAGAAATAAATTTCTGGTCAGGCAATGTCTAAAGTGAGGCGAGTCTTTAATATTGAAGTGGGGAAATCAGGTAATTCTGAATAGCAGTGGCAAACAGTAAAGGATTTAGTCACTTGAAATTAATAATGCCAAGTTGCTTTACAACGTATATTATTTGAAATGACATTAAAGTAGGCTTATAAAGATTTTATTAAACTCTGTAATGACACTACCGATTAGGGGATGAGTTCGTTACGAAGATGACTAACTTTTAATCCTTGTGAATTGGCTGAAGTTGTGAAATCGTATAGTCTTAATGAGTCTCCAATAATTGAAATATTTAACGTATTTGGTTTATGCGCATGATGCGATAAGAGAAGCTTCGGGAAGTATTTCTTCTAATAGGTTATATTGCTATAAACACGGGGTGTGCGATAGACTTACCTCCACGTGGTGTAGCCTGAGCAACGTATACTCATACGGCAAAAAAAGTCTATTAACCGGCAGTTGGCTTCAGACTCCAAACTACGATCACCCCACTGTATGTCAAATTCGACTACTTCAACCGTACTCGCCTCACCTTTTTTCCAACTTTGAAACACTCTTCTGCCCCCCCCCCACATCTCGATCTTTTTCACTTTGATGTTCCTTCCCATTTGTTAAGCCTGAAGTTAACTAAAGGGCTAATGATAACTATCAAAACGCCTGCCATTTGATATAAATAAATATTGCTATAAACACAGCCAACGCTTAGTTCTTTAAGTGGCACGAAGTAAGGCTCCTCCAGATGAAAAGACTGGTGATAAAAGCGAGAGTTAAGTGGAACGTTTGTTTTAGAAGGTCAAATAAGTCTTTTGCTTTATTGACTTTCAAATTGGTATTTAAATATTATTTCAGTTAATAGGATAATCATTTTATGTTACCACCTTGTCAGTTAATCCAATTAGCTTAAGTAAGTTTTTTTAAATATACGACGTCTGCTGATCTGACCTCACGCCTGCTTTTCTTCAAATGAAGTTTGCAGCAAACGTGAAGCTGACTTCTAGTAAAAATCAGGGAATTAGAATGAAATAAAACATGTTGAATTTAAACCATATTTATGTATAAAAAGGNCCCCCTTCTCCAACTCGGAGAATCACATTTTTTTCGAAGGCAATTTTGCAATTTTGTCGTCAAATTCGCCATCTTAAATTGCAAACATGCAAATTCGCATAATTCAACATAGTTCAACATCTTGATCATTTATTGGTGTTATGTTTTTCATAGGAATTGGTCCTTGCAAAAAAACACTTGAAACAATTACCGCTTTAATTCAAGCAAAAGCTTTATTTCTGACGGGAATGTTGAATAAAATCGCATTTTTTATTAATTTTAAATCTTAAAACAGAAAGTTAAGAGTTCGTTAGCAATCGAATCAAGTCTATTTGGAAAAATAAATCGCCTTATTGAAGACTATACGCATAATGGTATTACTTTAGCTGTCATGAGTTCATGGCCACCTCCGGCCAATTAGAGATTGTCAATCTGAAGGCTTCATGATCTTGTTTTAATCGCCTTCCTAATAGATCTAATGGGACATTGACTGTCAGTCAGTCGCTTTACTAGCCGAGAGAGATCGATTTTAACAAGGTTTGAGGCCAATCTGTCATTGGTGCATCGAAGGGGTCCTCTGTAACGAGTGGAATTCGGTCGAAAAATGCAGAAAGAATGTGGTGCATGAATATTTATTTATTCATAATTATATATACAAACGAACTAGCTTGGATCGGAACGAGGAGAGAAGAGAGAGGGGGGAGGGTGTGAGGTGGGGTTAGAAGGCAATAAGTCAAACAAAGAGAGTAAAACAGTGGGGGGGGGTTTAAGGTACTAGGTATGGAATTGCAACTGCCATCGTAGTTTCAGAGCACTTATTGATTTTTTCAAGCTTTCCGTTATTCTGGCATCGGAAGCACATAAGTCGACGACTTGTGGAAACTGCACCAGGAAATTTCTGTCCACAATTACATTGGACGGTCCATTGCTTCTAGGTACTTTCTTTCAATCACGTGAGGTATGAGTCGATGCCTATTTAAAGAACACAAATCAGTACCAGAACTCTTCACTTTCCCAATAAAAAGATATATAACGAGTTGCATTCTCACCGAACCAACATTTGGAGGAAGAGGAGGATGGGAAAGACCATTTTTACAAAGGGCTTGTCGGTGAAACCGCTTCCGCACAGAACGGCCAATTGAATGAGCTGTAAACCGGTAAACAAATGCATGCGTCGCTGAGGAACTCGTCGAATGTAGTGCGATGGTGGGTAGGCGGACTAAAATTACCAAAAAAGGCAGATATCGCATGAACATTGATCAAAGTTCGCTAATGATGTATGTTAGTGAGGTTTATAAATGTGGGAAATAAAGATAAAGCGCAAAGCATTGTCAGAATAATTTGGGTGTGCGCGATAGACTTACCTCCACGTTGTACATCCTGGGCAGCGTACAATCATGGGGCAAAAAGGTCTATTTACCGACAGTTGACTCCTGACTTCAAACTACCATGACCCCAATGTATGTCACATTCCACCACTTTCACAGTACTCATCTTACCTTTTCTCTACCTTGGTGTCTGTCTCTTTTACAACTGTGAATCACTCTTTTGTCCCCCCCCCCTCTCCCAACTTCTTTGTGCCATTGATGTTATTCTCCTCTGTGAAGCCCGAAGACAACTAGAGGGCTGATGATGACTATCTTTAAAGCCTGCTATTTGATATAAATAAATTGTCAGAATAACTATAGAAACACAACAATAGATATGAATATTATGAAGCTATGTTGTCCTTAATTATGAGAGTTGTAAAATCCAACCTAATACAAGCCTTAGTTTATCTTGCTAGAACTCATCACTCGCTGAATGATACAATTTTAAGTGGCTGTCACATCTGTCTTTTTTCTGACTCAAACCTTCTTTTATTGGCAAAAATGCTGATGTGGAGGGAACCAGAGGAATTCTTGTCTCCAATCCACGAAGCTTGCATACTCACAGCTTTAAAGCCCCCTTCCTTACCAAAGCGCGGCCATAACATATTGATTTTCTTTCGTGTTCGCCTTGCGAGGATTCGACTTATTTGCCCGTGTGCTTTGAATACCCAGAGCGAACACCGATTCACACGCACTCTGCCACCCCTGTTCAATTCTCTCTTGAACTCTTCGCAGCCTTATTTAAGGCCGGTGATTGACTATTCTTAGCTTTTGGTCACATCCCGACTTCCAAAGTAACTTGAAATATCTATGTCATTGGAAAAGGTGATTATCCACATCACCTCCAGTTCAAATTTCAAAAGGAGTGGTGGGGTGGGGTGGGGTGAGATGTGTGATTCCAGGTATCTCTAAATTTAGGTATCTATCCGATGCGAAGGTAGATGTAATAAGTCTCTAAATTTAGTTAATTTACCTGTTTACGATGAAGGGGCCTAATTGTCTCCTTCATTATCTTCGAGTTGAATAAATGAGAGAATTGTAAATTAATCGCGTGTATCATTCATCTGTCTTTCTATCGGTAATTGAAGGGTCCAAGCCTTCGAGATATGCGTTTTTGGGCGACAATTTAAGGCATAAGTAATTCCAAATCCTATTTCTGAGTAAATGCACCTTCTTTAATGATGCCGAGATTCCACCAATGCTTAACTCATTTCTGCAAGGCGACAAACGATTTGTAAATAGCACAACAAAACAAGTGTAAAATGAATACGATGGAAGAACCCCTTCTTACAAAACAAGTACTCAAATACACCAAGTGAATCTGGCATTTCAGTAATCCACTACGCCACTGTTTGAACCAATAACAACAAATTGATGCTTAGAGCCATACCTATCAGAGTTCAGATAAGAAGAAGTAAATAAAGTACTCAAGTAACTTGTAGAAGAAAAAGTGGGCTAGACTAACCTGTTCAATGAAAATGAGCTTGACTCTTTCCAGTAGTTGATTGTCTCCCACAGAGGTGAGGGCCATGTAGACAAATAGACCCGCCAGCACAGGTCGGGGTATATATGTCAAGGGGGTGGGTAGCATTAGAAGGGACAAGCCTATCCCAATATGCGCCAGAATAGTTGCTATCCGTGTCTCCCGAACACGAACGACTCTGCAAAAAAGCGGAAATCCCATAGCATTATTTAAACAAAGGGCTTTTCATTCAACCCGTAAAGTTCACGCTCCACATGGAAGCAATTGTCAGCATACTTGAAGGAGGTCTGCTGACGATTGAAAGCTTTAATGTGACTCATCATTCTGGCATGATAAAATGGCTCAAAAAATGAATTAAATTAGCTTAATATTGAAAAAATAGCTTTGGCAGTTAGCTTCAATGAGAGGTTTGAAGGTGATGCTATATGCCAAAGGCTAATTTTTTTAAGATAAAAAAAGAAAACAATAAAATTAAAAGCGCTGGATCGCTAATTTTGAAATGTATTAAGACCTTGTCGAATTTGATTAAGTTCAAAATTTCATCAAAATCAATTGGAACACCTCGAGTGGAAGACTGAATTTAAACAAAGTATGGGGAAGTAAACACAGAAGAAGTCCACAAATCTTATTGGCTCCTCTGAAATTGTAATAAGACGAAATACCTGCAAGTAAGGAGAGTTTTTGCCAAAATTCAAAAATGAGAAAGAAAACATTTTACTTTTGCATAAATAATCACAATAGAATTGATTAAATTAAATGAGGTGATAATTTAAAAGTCTTTCATTACAGATAGAGGCATGAATAGTAATGGAGAAGTGCTAATTTACTTGTCGCGGTAATAAGTGATGTAATCTTTGAAGGTTATAGAATTCAAATACGTGAGATGGGAAAATGAACCATTTGGACCTTTCATTTTAAGAAGAAGAAAAGATGGCAGCTAACTTAACAAAACTTATTTGACTGGCGGTCACAAATTTAATGGAAAGGTGACCAAAAGTGAATATGCGAGATAAATTTTGAAATGTGGTGTGTTCGTATCGGATATATTCCGCCAAAAAATGTTCTCTTATTACTATTAACAACACAAAACTTTGATCAATCACATTAGGATACGTGATTTTAAAATACAATGGTTCTTTAATTCAATTTCCGATCAGTGGAGTAAACCGTCTTTAGTTCCCAAGTCTCGTATCCTTTATTGTAGGGAGTGGGACGTTAAGCTGAACCTAACATTAAAGTCTGAATCACGTTTAGTGGACAGACGTTGGTCCAACTGCAATTGAGAGCTCATTTTGCAGCGGGTCGAGATTTGTGGAGAAAAGAAGAAGAAGAAGACGTCGAAGACAACAGTGAGGAATTAGTAAAGTGGAATGCTTTAGTTTGCTCTGTAGAATAAGACTAGGACGATAGAATATCAGCACCTCAGTTAGGAGGCTACACGAAACCACCTTTGAATCCTTTTTGAGTATTTTTGAAAAAATGAAAATAATTACTTACGGAACTAAAACGTGATCGTTAGAAATGCCGAAGGCAAAATGGAAAACCAAAATTATGCCAACTTTATGATCATTAAGCATTCTCATCTAAAGGCAGAAACATGATCTGACCCTTCTAGACCCATATTTACATTGACAACATCGTGGAGGCAAATTCGCTCAGTTGTCGTGGTGGCTTATTTTTAAAATTTAAAAGCAAATTTAAAAAAGGACATTGGTTATTATTTCCTCTGTTTTATCCTCTGCCGCGTCAATTGTCAATCGATTTTTATGCAAATTAATTCGGAAGATTGTTGAATAAAAAGAATTCATTCTGTGAGGTAACATGAAGACCATATCCGTAGATATTATCAAATTAAATTAAAATAAGAGGGGAGCACTTAAATTTGCATTCCATAATTACCAATTTGTCTCAAGGCGATAAATTTACTTTGCTATAAGTAGGAAAATCAGAGTGATTGGTGATTTGGCTCCCGCATAACAAGAAAAACTTATTGTTAAATCAATTCACAGCGCCCCAAGCATAATACTCGATTCAATTCAATTAGCTAACAAAGATTTGTTTGTTTGAACAGGTGTAAACTTTCAGGCTCTATAAAAAATGTGGCATTAAATATTCACAAGCATTAAAAAATGTGAAGAGGGAGTGTGTGAGTGAATGAATCCTCAATGGATTAAAGTTGAAATAAGAGCCTTTACGCAGATTTAATTGAATAGATAATTAAAATTAAAACTGCGTTTTAATTAAATAAATAGTGATTGTGCGATAGACTTACCTCCACGTGGTGTACCCTGGGCAATGTATACTCATACGGCAAAAAAGTCTGTTAATCGACAGTTGACTTCTGACTTCAAACTACCATCACCCCACTGTGTGTCATATTCAACTGCTTTCACAGTTCTCACCTCAAATTTTTTTTACCTTTATGTCAGTCTGTCTGTCTCTTTTACGTCTGTGAATCATTAATCTGTCCCCCCTTTCTACTTTTTTGTCATTTTGATGTTCCTCCCCCCCCTCTGTGAAGCACGAAGTCAGCTAAAGGACTAATGATAACTATCAAAACGCCAGCCATTTGAAATAAATTAAATAAATAACTAGATTTTCCTTAAACACCATGCAGAGTGATCGATTTTTGGCATCAATGAATATTGGAATCACCCAACATTGCTTCAGCAAATCGAAATTTCTCCTCCACTCATTGAATATTCTCGATAAAGATCCTTTGGAGTGAACAACACTATCAAAGCCAATCAAGGGCATCACACTTATCATAAAGTGCACCCATGAATGTGCTGGGTTAAGGCAAAAATCACTCAGCTGTAAAATAACATCGAATGCTTATTATTAACTAGACCAAATTATCCAATAGACGTTTCACGTCATATGCTCTGTTTCATGGTATTCTGATTTTGTGGCCAACTCCCTTGTAAGGAGATATGCGAGAGAAGATGGCTGAAGTTTTATCAGGGCTCATTTGAGTAGTATCTCTTCCAATGCTATATTAGATTCACTATAATGACAAGCGGTATGGAATTTATCAAATATTTTTTCTGTCATAAAGATGGGAAATTCAAAAATTATACATTTTTAAGTGATTTCTTCTATTTGCACAGACTCATTGCAAGGCAGTGGGCAGCATCACTAAGAAGGCACGGATTTCACAAACAGACGTTTGAGTTCAGTTTGTGTCCAGACGTGGTGGTGGAAGCAACCCTGTTAGTCTCCCGCTTAGGAGACAAATGGCTCAGCATTATTTATGAGCAACAAATTGCATTTTTTCTGTTAAAGGTATGGAAGTCCAACCTCAAGGCGGACAGAAGCCACACCAAGCAAATCCTGTAGGCCATATTTGTTTCGTCAGAGTTCGAAGGTCAACACGAATGGCGCTACTAAAGACATAACTGTAATTTATGTTCAAGTTTTCATAGGCCGCCTTTACGGAATTTGACTACATTTAAACACGTAGTTCCAAGTTTACTAATTTTCCCGAAAATGGGAGAGAGGGAGGGAGAAAGGAGGGGGGGGGGGGTGAATGGCGTCTTAAATGGTCTCTTTGTTCGCTTGTCAAATTGGCAATGTACACTAATAACAGCATCATGTCATTCAAATTATCAAAGTCCCATGCCATCTTAAATCATTTCTAAACTGAGTGAGCACTGAGATTTGGTTGATTTTAAAGCCTGAGAAGAAACATTACCTTCTCTTGAATCTGGTTTGATTAGAGCGCTTCGAACTCATTTTTTAATCATTGCAAGCATATGAACTTCAGCCACAAATAGGTTAAGAATACAGTGGAATGAATGCGTCAATTACTGATATATATATATATATATATATATATATATAAACATAGGGTCAATTAAAGTTACTAAGTGGGGGTGCGAAGACGCGTACGTACATTTGTTGGACGTTATTGCCCACAGTGATGCGTTCCTCCATGTCGGCGAGGGAACGGACATGCATAGGCGATTGAGGAAGAGCGCCGTGAACCCAGGGCAGACCGAAGAGAGACAGGAGGATGTTTATCACTCCTATCACAAATAAGTCCCAGTGGTAGCTTGTTCCCTTCTTCAGCCTAAAGAAGATGGTGACAAAAAAAGATAACGATTGGAAGCCTAGTCGAATGCTTTCATTGACCTTGAGCGTGATCCAGAAGCAACATCTCTTGTATTGGATTAAGGATTCGATTAAATTCACATTCTCACAGCTAGGTACCCCCCCCCCCCAAGTGACAATTATTTAAGCAACCGATCATTCTTCACTTATTTCGGTCTATATAAGCAATATTTTTTTAATGGGGTGTGTGATAGACTTACCTCCACGTGGTGCACCCTGGGTAATGTATACTCATACGGCCATAAAGTCTATACACCGGCAGTTGACTTCTAGCTTCTAACTACCATCACCCCACTGTATGTCATATTCGACTTCTTTCACAGTATTCACCTCACCCTTTTTCTACCTTTGTGTCTGTCACTTTTATATCTTTGAAACACTCTTCTGTTTCCCCCCCTCCCTCTCGAATATTTTTTCACTTTGATATTTCTTCTCTGTGAGTCTTGAAGTCACATAAAGGGCTAATGAAACCATCAAAATGGCTGCCATGTGATATAAATAAATATTTAGTTAATAAAATCGTTGTTTGTGCTAACAGTTGTCTCTCCTATAACTTGAATTTGCGTATTTGCGACTCTAATAGAGGTCAATTGAGATCCAATGAATATATAACCTACCAAAGCATAATCCTTTCTTAATGGATCCCAATATTTAAACAACAAATTTTTCATTATTTTTACCGAAGGCAAAACGAGTGCTTATAAATTTTTATGGCGGG